CTGCACCCACCAAGCTCCTATCTCCATTCTCAAACTCCTGTCTATTGCAGTGCTCACTTGTGTATCAAGGTAATGAATTCATAATCTCTCTCAAGCTCTTTGTAGATCTCTATCGTGGAGGGAGATAAGAGCAAGCATCGTTGCTCTCTAATAGCCGTCAGTCTGCCTCTGTTCCCGCTTGCTCTGTGTGTGTTTTGTGTGTACAGTATGCGTGTGCGTTGAGGAAATCACCCTTCACCACAAACCCCTGCACACTGTCCTCCATTTTGGCTTCCAGCGAAGAAGAAAAATATTCTAGCCTAGAGAGTCACTTATCAGCTAACTGTTGAAGCTACAAGGCGACAAATGTCTCTCAGAAAGAAGAGCGTTAAACACTGAGCACTGGTTCACTTCCTCTTGTTCTTCCAGCGCCTCAAGTGCCCTAAAAAAAGCACACTTGTCAACCTAGCTGATAAACACTCAGTCACAGGGAAAGTAAATATCTGAGAGGGTGAGGCAGACTCAGTGTAACTAAACTTATGACAAAGGGTGGCTCTCGAGGGCCGACCAGACGTGCACGTGTTTTTAATTGTGTTTTCAGTAGGGTGATGAAATGTCCTCCATTTGAGCACAAGCTGGCAGTAAGTGGGCTGTCGCCTTCAGGGACAGAGTGAGCGATGGCCCGCTGCTATCAGAGGTGATTGTGTCTCAACCCTTAAGGGTGACACAGATGAACGAAAGGGAGCAGGGAGACAATAAGGAAGAAAGCAACCAGGGGATGGACTGGCAACAAAAAGAAGTCTTGGAATTTGCGGTCAATTGTCCCCTGTTTAATACACCAGACTGAAATTGACTCAACGTATTTGTGAATCAACATTTTGTTTAAAAACAAGCTTAAAAAAAAGGCACGTATGTATGTGATGATGACTTCTATGAATTGTCATACAATGGTAAATACTTTTAAAACTTCAAAAAAAACATTTCAAGACCCCAGAAAAAAAGCCATATCTAATTTAAAGTTAATTTTACCACTCTTCCTCTCAAAGTGTCCCATTATAGCTTCTGTGTTTATACTCCCTGGACCTTCTGATTAAATGTGTATATACACACTTTCAATTTCAACATGGAACTAAAAAGAGAATCAACTTTATTTAGTTTCATCACTGTTAATGGGAGCTGGGTGAACAGCTGCGATCCAGAGACCAACGTGCAGTTTTTAGTGCACTTTAGTCCACAGTGTCCAAGGATGAAAATCGTACTGCAGCTCTTGAGTACAAACACAAATGTGCCTCCCCCAGTTTAAAGCTACATTGTAATGTCCTTTGGCATTTTGGGAAGAATATTTGGCACAAAGAACCTGAGGTTTGGCCACAGAATCACCCAACATACCTTAATTGCCAGATTGATTCCCAAGACTCAAAAGAGAAGATCAAGGGCGGCATTCAAAGAAGATTACACCTAGTATAAGTGACGTAGTTTTTATGTACTCTGATATACTCCATTCACACTTGAATGTTCAATAGGTCCCTTGTAATTGGAGCTATGTTGGTTTCTGCTCCATGATCCTCTGTCCATGGTGTTTTAAATATATTTAAAATAATATGCCAGATAAGCCAACATGCGAGTTATTGTAACTGACTGTAAAACGTCAGCACAATGAAAATAAACTCCTCCTAAACTTGGTTTATATCTGACCCAGATAGACTGCAGGTCACAACTTCTTACCTGAAGTTCAGTTCACTTGACATTCGGACCGGCGGCTCGGGTCTCTCCTCCTCCTGCCTCCCCTTTCCCTCATCCACCTGCTGGCCTCTGTGAAAGCTCCGCCACAGACACAACTAAACAACAAGTTATTTTTACACATCGGCCAGCATCTGGCCAATCCACCATCTTTCATTGTTTATACCATTACAAAAAACAAAACAACAAACAAGCAAACAAAAATCATAAAAACCCATAAAAACGAAAAATCACGTCGGCCCACTGGGCAAACGCCTGGTATGCCCGATAGCCAGTCCAGCTATGGTCGTGCCATCAGTTAACCCTTCGTGCCCAGGGTTGCCGACCCCTGGCCTACTCCCTCACTCTTTGATGTCTTTTGTCTCTTTCCCACGGTTTTCAGTAACTTCTGTCTTACCACACTTTGAAGCATTAACCAGAAATTAGCCAGTGCTAAATGCCAACTGCCTGAGCACTACATAGTTCCAGCTGTGATAGTGACTGGTGGCTGCTTATTACAGATTTCAACTGTGCTGCAACTGTGATGATCTATGGAGTATATATAAAGCTGAGGCTGGGTGTAGAACAGCCCTCCCAAGATTAACCAGGAAAATTCCAGAACTTCCAGATGCCTTTTTTTTTTAGTATACTCCCTTGGGAGTAAACACATGAATAAGACAGGGAGACAAAGTAGGCATATAAATACAGCTGTGGTCAGAAGGTTACATACACTCATCATGGATATAAATGCCATAGGAACTTCGGACTTTTAATGATTTCTTTGGACTTTTTTTCCAATAATTAAAAGATTGTACATGATTTAATGACCTTAAAAACACAAATTGGATGCACATGTTTAAAAATAATTAGGATCCCCCCCCCAATATTTGGTTAAATGCCTCTTAGCAAGGCACACCTTGATTAGGCCCTATTGGTAGCACACCAACAAACTCTTGGCATCCTTGCATATTTGACCACTCCTCTTGGCAGTGTTGGTAGAGCACATTTAAATTAGTTGGTTTGGTTTGGCAGCTTTTAAGCATAGTCATAGTGTACATACTGTAGGTATGCATAATTCAGAACGTCTAGAAGAAGACTGTCATCCTTAGATGAGGGGAAATTGTTTAGGATGTTCAAAAACACTCCAGGAACCATTTAGCCTCATTGTGCTTTTTTGGTTAAGAAGGGTCTACCTTCAAGCTCCAATACAGCTTCACATCTAAGAAGTGAAAGTTCATGTTTCTGCACAACAAATGCCATCTTAGCTGAACCTTAACCTTATTAACCTCCTAGGACCTGGCAAAAAATCTGGTAATTCTTTGTTTTTACATCCATCAGGCTCCAATATGCCCAAATATCAAAGAGAAATTAAAAATGCATGCCGTGGAAGAGTTCGAATCTTAGGAGGTTAATGTACCAACCAGTTCACAATAAAGACACACAATCTTTATTATGAATATAAATTCAGGAATAACCATTCTTCTGCCTTTTTTTTTTTTTTTGCATGCGAGCATTACCTGTTTGACAACATTGCTAAGCAGCAATTGTGATGAGGATCACCTTCCTTCACTTGGAAGCACAGCAGCTGACAGAAGGAGGGCAGCAGTTTCAACAAGGTTCACCGCTTGTTTCGAGGATCTTCAAACAGTACATGCTGCTATGTGATTCGGAAACAAGACGCAAACGATTAAACGCTCTCCCCTTGCCACATCTTCCGCTCTTTGAATTTACATGGCATTTATGAACACTCACAAGGAAAACAGAAAAAGCGCGAGTGGGATAGCTGGAGAAGAGGACTCCGGGAGTGGAGGAGTCTCATTATTCTGTTATGGATTGCACATGTCAGGCAGTAAGTGCTCTTTTTATCCTTCCAAAGCACTAGCCTCGGCCACTGAGCGCATTTCCCTACCCGAGTGAAATTTACCATGTTAAGGCTCACGCCACCAGGGGAATGGTGGTGAGAGCTCTGGGTCGCTGCAAAGATTTACCGCCTTGATTAAATAAAGGGCTCTGGTGTGAATAAGAGGCTGAGGGACAAATCTTCGTAACATAAACACATGTTTTATACTCAACAGTAAATTGATTAGCCCCATCCTTACACAAACACACACACACACAGACTTTTACACCCCTTTATGGTGTGCTACATGTCACACTGGGTTTTAAACAAAGAACAGAAAGGGGGCAGTGGAGGATTGCTTGTGGCTCAGAGTGGCTTTCTGCCAGTACACAGCAAAGATGTGTCTTCTCAAAAGGGCTTGTTCCCATTTATTACTGCCTGCATACCTTGAAAAGTTCACCCAGGAAAAAAAATATTATTCCTCTCTTTGTATTTGGGAAGAAGAGGACTCTTATTTGATGCAGCGTGCTTCACATATTGTAACACTTTCCAAAAAAAACCCTTTTAAATTCAGTCTCATGTTCTTCAAATTTCTAGCCTTTCCTTTAGTCCTTAAAGCTCCAGGAAGGTGCTTTGCCATAATTAGCTGCATTTTGCTGGGACAAAGCATTTTTTTAAAAACCCACAGCTTAACATATGACAGTCTGAAACAAAGCAAAATGTAACTGGTTTTAGCCAAAGATGGAACAACAATTTTCAGTTTGCAAAGGTAGGTGAGTATGGGGTCAGCTGATTGATGTGCCTCCAGTGTGTGTCTAGGCTCCCTGCTGGATATACTGGACACCAGCTGGCACTGTTCAAATTCAAATCCTACAAGCCAATCAGGATTGCCTTTTCAACTAAAAGCCAATGTGATTGGGTGATACCTTGTTTCTATGGTGTGTGTGTGTGTGTCACACTTTATCACAATGGCAACACTTATTTCGACTTGTTCATTGGTCACTCTAATACAGTTTAAAATAACTATGCTGATCGTTTTTGCAGGTTATGTGGGCTGATCTACACTGAACATCCACACATATGGAGAAAAGGTCAATTTGATCTACAGTTAGACTAAGAACAGTTTTACAATAACCTGTGCTCTTAAAGAGACTTCATGTTGTTAAAAGCGTTTCATGTAAATGCGTGTGTTTGCCTCTTCTTAGTCCTGCCACTGCAGCCCAAATTTGTAAACCCAAAGATCAGCAGCAGTAACTCGTTTTGTTACAGGCCACTTTGTGTTATGATTTCCTACTAACGTGCATGAACGCACCACGTGGTGCGATTTACGATGTAGGAGAAGTCAAGAGACGAAGTTTATGAGGCGGCATTGAACGCAGCACAGGACTCCCTACGTTTTTCCCCCCTCCGCTTCATAGGGGAGGGAGAATGTGGGGGGTGTTTGACTCCTGTCTCCCCACCCCCAGCCCGTACGGAGTGGCTTTAGGAAGAAAAGAATCCAAACCTGCAACTCGGAGATAACGAGACACACACCAATAAAGAGATACACATTTGGAGATCCGCGCGCGGCGGTGTCGCGCACGGATTATTATAGGGTATTTTATTTTTCTTTCACTGAGGAGATTCTGGTTTTGAGCGTCTGATCTTGGGGGGAAGGAATACAAATGTACGGAGAATAAAAGGAGTATTTCATTCGTGCTCTCTTCGCTAACAAGTGACTGCCGCTGGAGAAAGTGGAATATAGTGTTTTTTTTTCTGCCGCAGGAGATTCAACGTAACTGTTTTTATTTGCTCTGAGGGAACTGACCGCTTACCCCAAGCATACGGATTTAAAACCTGTCCCCAGGGGTGGGGGTGATAGTCTCAAAAGTACTTTTCTCACGTCGCTGAAGTGAGTGCAACTTTTTTCTCCTTCTTAACTCTTCTTAATGCTTGAAATCGGTTCAGGTGAAAGGTGCGAGACCTAAGAGTGCGCTCCGTCTATATCTGTATGTTTATATATTTTCAGCTTTGCTGTGATTTTGTATCTCAGCTCGCTGGAGTAACCAAGAAGAGTTGCTAATTTTAGTCCGTTTTTTCTCTTTCAACATGCTTTTATAAATAAATCTTCCGTGAATAATTTTGTTTTAACGTTCAAACTGAAAAACAAAACTGTAACATCTTTGGTTTTTTTTAGTGAGCTTTCTAACGATGGGGCTCTGCTTCTGTAGCATCTGAAGATAAAAATGCTTCTGTTACTCGCTCGCCTGTAGAGCGTAACCGTTAATCAGTAAGTGTAATGCTTGGCAGTATAGTCAAAGTAACGGAATATTTAAGTATTTTGATAGTACTTAAATGTTTAAGTAACTTTCCTATTGAAAGGTTAGAGTGTGTTGAATGGTTACTGTAGGATTTACATTAAAAAGTACCAGGTGCCTTTTAATACCCCTCCAACACTATGGCAGTGTGAAAACGTATGGATAGTGGAATCATGGTTTGGATACATTTCCAGGCAAGACCTTTGATGTTGTTCTTGTTCCTCTTATCATCCTCCTAATCATCACCATTAATATTATTTGTTCAAGATAATTTCCAGGTCATCTTAAATTTTATAGCATTTGAGGCTAAACCTTTTCCAAGGCAACGACCTTCACCAGAGAACACTGTCACCCTCCTCACCCCCAGTGCCCCCATTCTAACAGCAAATGAAAAGCAAAAAAACAAAAGATTAGTACCTCTGCTGCTTTTTTAAATGGATTGTGTGGAAAATATGAGCTCAAATAGAGAGGTTTTGATTCTTGATGTTAGTGGTTATTGAGGCAGTGAACTATGTGGGAAGTTTGTGGTTAAAGTTCAGAGGTGAGATGCGCCTTTGCTCTGAGGGAACGAATTCAGTCATGTGGACCTGTTATTGCTACTTACAGAATGTTTTATCCCATTTCACTTCTTGCTTCACTTAAGACAATTTTCCAATCTGATGCATAATTAATAAGCTCTGTTTAGTCAAGCAAAAAAAAAGAAAGAAAGAAACATGATAAAAAAAAACCCTTTTTTGTAAATCAAACTCATCAGTCCTGCATTCCAGCATTCAATCAGCCCGCTAACTCAAATAAATAAACCCATTTGTCTTATGATGAGAGTCACATGTCTATTGTCAGTAGCAAGAAGGAGTCTTGTCCTTTAGAGTAATTGGACAACACGTAAACCAAGACGCTGCATGTCAAGTGTGTTCTGGATTCTTAATGTGGCTTTAATTGAACAATTTATCACCCCTGATCACTGTCAAATAACTGGGCAAGAAAGACAACAGGCAATGAAAATGCCAAGGATTAAGCTGGCAGGCATATCCCGCTAAGCGTGACCAGTGTGTCTGTCACAGCAGCATCTGCAAGGTGCTGTTTTATTTAATTTAGCTGATTTATTTATTTTTTGTATATAGAAATCACACGTCAGTGCCTGCTTGAGTGGCACTCTCCTAAGAAGTGGCAACGCATAGCGGGGGAAGGAAGGGGCCACGAGAACATTACATCCTTGAAAAACTTCTTTTATTGGACCAAACTTTTGATTTCTCCCCGGAGCTCCTTTCCCTACACTTGGAAGAAAAGCTAATTGAATTGTGCCCCGGATATGATGCTTTTTTTTTTTTCCTCCCCCAAGTATGGAGGTCTTGCAGAAGTGTCCTCCTCAGGGTTTTGAAATTCATTTCCTTTGCAATTTATTACTTTCTGAGCTGTTTTTCTTTATTTCCCCTACCTCAACAGTAGGGTGTATTCTCTCCATTTTTGAAAGCATCAAAGTGGAGAAGAGAGAGAGAGAGATCCAAGATAGCTACAGGCGTTGCATGTGATGAGTTATTCAGACGTGTATTTTACTTGAGGTAATTGAACTTTTTAATCGTCTTTCTTTAATATTTTTGACATTTTTGACACACGACCGGCTTAAACACTGTGGTAATCAATTTTCATAGCACAAGCAACACTCTTGATGCCTTAAGACGCTTTTATTGTTTGACTTTCCAGATGTGGTGCTGAAATTGAAACTCAAAACCATCAGCATCTTTTCAAGTTGTTTTTTTTTTTTTTTTTTTAAAAAAAAAGTGTCTATCTGTTACTTGCAAATACAATGTTTATTTTTGATCCTGGGGTGCAGTCGATGAGTGCTTGAAGTTTGTCACCCCCGATGCATCGGGGTATATGAAAGTATATGAAAAGCAGGTACATCATCTGGAGGCCAGAGATCACTAACCTCGCCTAAGGCCAGTACTCAAATTAAACATCATCATTTATTTAAAAATACTGTGCGGACACATTGAGTAGCATTATACATCAGCCCACAATTATGCTCATTACAACCCTGCAACACTTACATTCGGAAGCAACCGATGTTACTCGCACACTACCTTAAGTGGGGCTCATTAAATACTGAGAAACCAATGTAAGTCATCCATTGGTTGATTAAGGAGGCATGGTAACATTTGTTAGCTACTGGGAGGCCCCCTAAAGATCCTCTGTTTTGCAGCTGTCTGCTACACAACCTCTCAAGCTGGTGTTGATGTGACTAAATTTCCAGGATATACGCCTAAATGCATTAAGCTGTTTCTTTGCCCATGTGCCACCTCTCTAGTCAGTTTAATGAAAATCGGCCTAGCAGCATTTGCATAATCCTTCTCACAGACAAATAGACAAGCTGCAACAAAAACATAACCCCTGTGGTAGAGGTAATAAAAACTGTGACCCAGTTCCACTGGCAGCCACACAAGCTCATGCCTTAATACTCCCTCCACCATGTTTGACAAATGATGTTGGACATGTTTAGATTATGAATCCTTCATTCCCTTCTCTTCTTAACATTCAGATAAGTTTATTTTAGGCTCTCTAAGAACTTTGACCTTATGATATACCTTTTGATATGCCTACCTCCGTAAGAGGCTTCTTTCATCTTATGGTCTTGCTAAGGCTTCATTTTTATTTTTTAAATAAAAATCAAACAGCAGAACCTAAAAAAAATACTTTGCTTGTTATTCATTTGTCTCTGTTTTAGGCTGTAAAATAAAGCAGACTTATCAGACAGGGAGAGCTTTGTTAGGCTCTCACTTTGATAGACTTACTTTTGTCAACACCTCTTTGGACTTTGTGCATTACCACCGTATTTAGTTTCATTGAACAGCTTCTAAACACAGTTAGAACTATCCCACACCATTTGTCATGATGAAACAAGGAAACTGTCCACACATGTTCAAGAACCTATTAAAACACAGAGAGTGTGCAAAAAAGTGGCTCTAATTCCTCACATTTAATTACCTTGAATTAAAGTTGGTTGGTTGGACTTTATTTACTTTACTTCATTTGCAAGGTTGTAAAATATTTAGCAGTTATGACAAAGCCAAAGCATCAATCAACACATTTATTTTACTCAAGAGGACACAACGATATTACACACTTAATTTGTCTATTTTTTTTAGGCTTTTAGGACCACTTTCTTACTAGCCTGTGCCCTGTTTATTTTATTCAAATCCAAATTAACAGAGTTTTGGTGGCATCGAGTGCTTGGAAATTATTCACATTGCACTTGACGCAACAACACAGTTAATAACAGCTGCTCTGAAGTGACTGTTGCGGTAGAGAGAAAGCGAGCAATGCGGCACGTTATGCAGAGGCGCTGTTGCACTCACAGCTAATTGTGTTTATTCATTTTAATTTGCTCCGAGTGCTAAATCAGTGCTCTTCCAGCGACACGAGGTGCAATTAGCTCGACTGTGAAAACAGGAGGCAGTGTGTCTTCTAAAGTGTCCCCTCCTCTCCTCTTTGATTTGTGTATTATCCATCCTTTGTCCTTCACATTTCTTCCTACTTAACCAGTCTGGAGACGCACTCGATAAAAGTAGCATCTAAATGCTTCATAGTGTGAGCGTCACCCTGCAAACAGTGGGAAGATTACATAACTTGTCGCAAAACTAAAATTCTATTTGTTTTTAGAAAAAAAAGAGGTCATTGGGTTTTTTTGATGGGTCATATATTAAGGAGATGTACAGTTTAAGGAAATGTTAATGCATTAAAGTACTTGTTTTGCAGGTAAAGTGTTGGGCTTCTGTATTTCAAAGTAAAGGGGTCACATTTGGGCATTGAACTGTAGCCTATTAGTTGTATGGTTTCACCAATAATAAAAAGTTATTACTGAACCCTCTTAGCCTGAAACAGCGACATATGCCTATAAGTCTATGTTCATATGCAACTGTAAGACAAAGCAGACTGTAGGGCAACAGAATACATGGTGGCTGTGTAAAGGCAAACAGCTCTTTATGTTTTTGGCACTCTTTGTTGTTTTGTTGCATGATGAATGTTTGCAAAAACCCCACAGCATATCTTTGTCCGCATCGCTTTTTCTGCAATGTGTGGTGCACTGCATTACATACCATGTACCTGTTTTTGAGTTTTGAAACAAGTCAGATCAGACCTCTGTTTGTGCAGGCCCAGTTACCAAGAAACACCTTTTGCTTTCCTGAGATAGAGAGAAAAAACAAGATAAAAAGATAAGGGCAAACTGCAGGTTGGCAGTTTTCTAGAAGATCTCTTCAATTCACTGGATCCTCCTGTTTTCGACTTGTCCATAGGTGGAGACACGCGAGACTTGTGACTTGCAGAGAATGTTTGACTATTCGCTCAGACATCATTGTTTGGATGCCTTAGGTCTAAAGTTTGTAGCTCAATTCCCTTTAGAATTTTGTTCCGAACTGGCGGGGAACCCCCAAAAGTCACAGTTTACCCACCAACTGAAGTCTAAAGGTTACCACTCCAAAGAAAGCCATCAATGGATTTGAACAGAGATGACACGGGTTGAGAGGCATGGGGCCAGATAAGACAAGGCTGTGATAACGTGTGTGAACTCAGCAGCATTGATCTGTTTCTGGCTGAC